CTCTTGTACACTATTATAAAAGTCTCCCCGTACTTGTCATATGGTCATAGCATTCCAAGTTGAAACAAGTCATTCGTCCATTTTGACTTGACAATAAATCCGAATTTAAATCTAAAATAAATTTAAATTTAAAACTAGAAGTTTTAGCTGATTCATATTTAAAATAATTCAAAGTTAAAATGAAGTTGTGTTCTAAATTACTGGAACATGGGAAAGGGGAATTAAGCAATTATTGGATTATTTGTTATTAGAGGTTGAGTTTGAAAAATAGTGAATAGTGAAAGCTTGTAAAATCAAACCGAACTAAAAATCGTAGCTTATGTCATTTGATTTTGATTTTAAATTTTAAAAACCCACAAAGTAAAATTTGATTTATATTTTAATAAAAGGTCGAACCGAACTAAATGCAATCCTCATATGTATGGGTAGTTTTAGAGAGGAAGGAGGCAAAAGCGAGGAGCGCAGGTCCAGGAAGAGGAAAGGGCCAAAAAGATGACAACGTTTAGTGGTTGGAGTGATATGGCTTGGAATTTGGTGTATTTAATTATTTATTGAATAAGAGTAGGATGGCATGGTTTATGTATAGTCAACATGGGAGGGAGGGACATGTCCTTAATCTTCATTCTGCCCCCTGCCTCTCATTGCTTCCCTAAATCTTCATGCATCAAGTAAAAAACAATATTGGAGACAAAATTATTATTATTATTATTATTATTATTATTATTAGATATTAAAATTGTAATAAACTTTGGAAGAATATATAAAGCCCCCACTCCCTTCATGGCTGCATGTGATTGTGGTCACCATTTTTTTACAATTATATGCAGCAGAATCAATAGCTGATGCAATGCACACGCTCATGTTAGAGGCAAAAATACAACTCAATTACTATATTCCGCCACGGAATTCAAAAATTTGTAAGGTGAATATATATAATCAATAAAATAGACAATTAAAAAAAAATTTGAATTTCAGATATCCACCCTAAACAACACTTATATCCGTCGTTACCCATCTATTGGACCTCAATGAGACATATAGGTAGGATCCAACACCACTACCCAATAAAGTTTAAACATCTAAAAGGTATTTATAAAAAAAATAATTGATTTTTTTACAAATGAAAATAGTTTAATTGATATTTTTCGTTAAAAATTTAATTGATTTATTTTGTTAATAAAAATTATCATTGATCGTTTTAATTATTAAGAGATGATTATAAAATAAATCACAACGAACTTTTTGTTTAATGCATAAAATTTAATTATTTCATACCCTTTAATTTTTAATTTATCAATTAGTTTGTGGTTTTTAATTAAGTGTATATGTAAACTTTTATCAATGTTAATATAAAAATAATATAAATTATATATATATATATATATATATATATATATATAAATTTCTGATTATTTTAAAAATTTTATTTTTATGATAAACTGAATATTTAAAGATACTTGTATATATTATATTATTTTATTGAAATCAATCATCATTATTAATCAACTAATCTAGATCAATAGTGACCCTCTCAAATTAGTTTACTCTATTTGTAAATCGACAAAAAACTTTATAACCGAAATCACATGTCAAATCAAAAATTAGATTCAAATAAGAATCCTAAATTTTCAAATCGACTAAAAATCCAACACCGTCGTTATCTAAAATCTTTAATGAAAATAATTAGAAACTTTTTTTTCTTAAAGCCAAATGATATCTTACTCTTTTTAAAGAAGTTTTTTAAACCCTAAACACAATTGAATCGATTTATCGTAATTTTTACTCTTAAGCCAGCCACAAATATATATATTTTTTCCTTCGAATTTTATCAACGCCAGTAAAAGCCCCAAACCACCAGACCTCTGGGCAGTGCACTGCAGGTTCATACTACTACCAGCCCTGAACTTTTAAACATGTAAGTCCACCCTCACATCCCAGCACAACCCCCTCTTACTCGTTGCTTTCAACTCAATTTAGCATTCAATATTGGCTCATCCATATATTTATAAAGTTGATCTAAAGTTTAAAATCCACAAAACCCAAAAACTAATAAAAGGTGTTGTAATATCCATCCTCAATTCATAGCATATTTCTGGGTCCAAGAGCGAGCAGTGGACTCATATTTGGCTCTATCAGTCTTGAACATGTGAGCAATCTCGGGCACCAGAGGATCATCCGGATTTGGATCCGTAAGCAGTGAGCATACTGAGAAAAGCACCTACACAACTTACAACTCGTTAAAATAACATTCCACACCACAATAATCCTTATTTAGGAATAAGGTTAACGATTAATGGTGTCTGGTTACAATGATTTATTAAAGAGTGTCACACCTTAGATATGGTGAGGGCAGGACTCCACTGCTCCTTCAGAATGTCAAGACAGATGCTTCCGTTGCTGTTGATGTTAGGATGAAAAACCTTTGTTCGGAAAGAAACCTACAATCACGAAAACAACACAGGACCCACGAGAATCACCTACTTTTTCGAGTCAATAGGTAATAATTCGAGCCAAGTCCAAGAAATAAAATATAGCATATAAAATGACAGCAAGGGATTTCAGCAACTCGTACAAAAGCTTGCTATGCAGGATATAGCTGTGCACTTTGTATTTAGTATTTTACTTTGTATTAAACTTGTATTTTAAGTTTATTTAAGTAGAAGGTAAGAACTTATATGTTTAGATACGAAAGTAACAACCTAGTAAGACTACTGTTGTAACTCAGCCTAGTAAAACTTTATCTTCCAGTAAATTCTCTCATCTTTTTAGTAAGTTCACATGCTAATACATTTCAAAAACACCCTTGGGGCTAGTTTAGAATAACTGTTGCAAAAAGCTTGATTTAGAAGAAGGTTGGGTCGGAAAAATTATGTTTAAACAGAATGGTGAAAAATGTGATTCTGAAAACTTACAAACAAAAAAGTTTTGAAAAGGATTGAAATGGTAGAGAAGTAAAATAATAAAAGTTCAAATATATGAGGATAATAAAACCATTTCATCAAAAAGCAACAAAAGTGAAACCTAAATGTGTTTCCTATTTAGAATTGCATTTGCTGTGATAAACAAATTTTGATCTTAAAAGTTATGCCATCAGCAACGGTAAACAAAGCTTAAAACTCTTAAAGAGGACCAATGTTAGAAACCAAAATCTAGCTTTAGTCCCACAATCAGTCATCCAACCAAAATGAAACAAAATTTTCAATTCATAATAATAATAAAACAGATATCACCAAAAAGTGGAGTTTAACCTTGGGTGGCTTGAAAGGATAGTCCGGGGGGAAGTGAATGTCAACAAGAAACACTCCTCCAGCAAAAGGACTGTCCGCTGGGCCCATTATTGTTGCTTGCCAGTGGAACATATCATCAGCAACAGGGACTGTACATATACACACACCATTATTTTAAAGAAAATGTTTAATTAATTACAATGAAAAGCTAAAAACCTGACCGCATGCGGCCATTATTAAGGTTTCAGGATTATATTAATCAAAAACCCTGTATGAATTTAGACACAATCAATGACATATCCAGAAATATTTTTTTGGCATGGACACAATTAACAACATAAAATTTTTGTATGAGGTGAGGACAAATAAAATTTCAAGTAGACACAATCAGTAAAATAGGTAATTATCTGAAAAAAAAATGGGCTTTCAAGATGGGCTTTAAACCACCCTAGTGCCTTAGTGGATTCGCCACTGAACACAATAACCACTAACCAGCATCTCCCTTCTTGAAACAGATTACAACTAACAAATTGTGGTACTATTACTTGCCCCCTCAGACATACACCCATATCAGCTATCTTGAATATCCAATTAAGCAACCAAGTAGTTGTAAACTGCATACATATGTATGAATGTATGTATTATGTATATGAAGTAGTAGGGACATGAATCACCGAGTTTCAGTTGATTCAACAAATTCCATCATTGATTGGAAGAAAACAAATTAACAGAGTAGCTAAAACAAGGAAACAAACCAGCACTGCATGAAACGGGAGGGTCCTTCTGCAGATCCTTCAACTCCTTGTTGATTCGCTTTGAAGCCATTATTAAGAAGCCGTCTCTCAAGTCTCAAGCAGACAATAATAGGATAAACTGCAGTAACATCAAATTGAATGTAACTTAGAATAAATATGTAATAATAATAAAATACCTAAATAACAGTCAACCAGGTCAACAACAACTGTTACAAAATTCTCAGTAATAAATGTATAAATAAATACACCCAGAGGCAGAAACCTTTTGGATTCCCCAAAAAAGGCAGTTAATGCAAGTGTAATTACGTTGAGCTTGAGCGGTGCACTGAGAGAAATTAATGGTGGTTTCTGTTCCAGATTTTCTAGGCGAGCGAACAAACAGAGGGCACATAAATTAATCGAACGAACAGACAACAATAACAACAATAATAATTACAGAGATTAAATTAAAAAAAGGGAAGCGAATAATATAGACCCAAAACAGATAAAAAAAAGGGAAAAAAAAAGAAAATTGATGATAAAACGAAAGAAGTTATTAGGAAAAGCAGAAGATAGAAAGAGGTACCTTGGAGTTGGAGGTGAAAATTGGTAACGAAACAATCTGATTATTAGGTTACTTTTCTCGTACGTTATGTAGTGGAAGGAAAATGTTTGGGCATTCCTCTGGATATTTGTATATGGTGGCCGTGATTCTCTGCCACGCGGCCCTCTTATAGTATTATCTTTATAATGTGAAATGAATTCGATCTAACCCAGAATTTATATATAAAAAAAACTTTGATAATAGGACAAAGAGTATGTAGATGAGAGGAATTGTTTATCTTTATATAAACATGGGTCGCCATTGAAATGCATGATGAGATTTCAACCAGAAAATATAATAAAGTAAAAAACTTGGGTCCGTTTTTGTTTGTTGTTATATGGGGAAAGTCAGCGCAGATAGTTTGGGTTAGTGTCCTACCATTACCCTCAATAACAGGTGTCATTGCCAGCCTAGGCGCCTGCAATTTCTTCAGATATTCCTCCTCTCTACGTGGTTGCTTCTCCCTCTAGTTTACTCTCTAAATACCTTAATCTAACATCAACCTACACACACACAAAAAGAAAAAAACCCTACTTTTTCATCTCTTTTTGCCCCATAATTCAATTACTTCTCGTTTGCAGTTAGGAGCTAGCTTGACCCATCAAGTCTCTCGTTCTATTTTGGCTGTTTTACTTCTACTGGGTTTAGGAGGTACTCTTAAAAAATCCCTGCTTTGTCTTTGATTTGATGTTCATGCTTCTGCTTTTCTTTTTTGGATTTGTATTTCCTCTTTGAGATCAAAAAGTCAACTTTTCTTATTTGATTGATGCCCTTGAGTAGATAAAGCTGTTGATAGTTCCTCAAATACCCATCGTTTATCTTTTAATTGTATCTTCCTGGTGTTATGCAATGACCTGGTTCAATTGATTAGTTATTTTTTTAATGTTTGTATAGGCAGGGTAATATCTAATCTGTCCCCAGTGACCATTGGAAATGGGAGGCGTATCTGGAAAGTTTGAATCACCCGAAACAAAACTAGAAGCTAAGATGGTTGAAGCTATGCAGCGCAGGGCTTCTAAAGGAACTGCAATCAAATCCTTTAACAGCATCATCTTAAAATTCCCTAAAATTGATGTCAGCTTAAGGAACTGCAGAGCTATTTTTGAGCAGTTCGGTAAGTAAGTGATCTCATGGCTGTTGCAATTATTCGAATGTTGACATTTTTAACAATTGATCGTTTATTTAAGCCATCGAATTCGATCTTAAAACACCCTATTTCGTTGTTGTTCGTAATACATTGAGGAACATGTTTGCTTCCATTGATTAATTTTGCAGATGAGGACTCGAATGGTGCAATAGACCCCGAAGAGCTGAAAAACTGTTTGCACAAGCTTGGAGTTTGTTTCACAGAGGAGGAGATAAATGATCTGTTCAAGGCATGCGATATCAATCAGGATATGGGGATCAAATTCAACGAGTTCATCGTTCTTCTTTGCCTAGTATATCTTCTCAAGGACAATGCTACCGCAACAGAAGCCGTATCCTTGATTTTCACTGTTTGTTTTGTCTTTGAGGTGTTGTGTTTCATCATATATCCCACATGCCATTGCCTTGGTGATGGTATGGGATTTAGTTTGTGTTTGAGGTTAAAATGTCTGTAAACTCTGCCATGTTTTAAGAACAGAACCAATGGCACTCAACCAATGTTAATGTGTGTTCCATGACAATGAAGTAAGAAATCAAAAATGGGAGTGCCAAATTTGGAGGCGACATTCGAAACATTGGTGGATGCATTTGTGTTGTTGGACAAGAACAAGGATGGCTATGTTAGCAAGAATGAGATGGTTCAAGCTATCAGTGAATCTGGGGAGCATTCCAGTGGACCAATAGCCACCAAAAGATTTGGTTAGCTCTTTCTCTCTAGTTTCACTCATACAACGATTGTAACTAGTGTAAAACTTTTTAGTTTTACATTGTGCAAGTGGATCCTAGCTCATATATATGAAAAAATGTACCAAGTAACTCAAATTCACATGCCAACATGTGCGTGTTTAATTTATTTTGCGTGGACAAGTTATGCAGAAAATAACATTGTTTAGAAGGCAATAAGTTATGTCCGCTTAGATGGAGGAATGAATTTTAGAAAAAAAAGTAGACACGAGAATATTGCAGTGCAGAGCATCTAAGATTCATTAAAGAAGTTAGCAGAGAGGGATGGTTGATGTGATTAATGGTGATTGATATTAATTTGTGTTGCAGAAGAGATGGACTGGGATAAAAATGGAGCGGTGAGTTTCAAGGAATTTCTCTTTGCATTCACAACTTGGGTTGGAATTGAAGACGACGGAGACGATGAATAATAGACACAATAAGAAGAAGAAGAAGAAGATCTGAATCAATTTCACTTATCTTTGTTAGCAGTGCTATCAGTGTATTACTAATTGCTAGCAGTCAAGCCAAGCATTGTGTTTTTGTTCCTTTGAGGTCTTTTTTTCAAAGTACAATAATAATTATTTAAATAGTAATGCTTTTTAGGAGTATAATTTGTAAGGGAAATTATCTATTTGGTATATATCGATTTATGTATCTGTTTTGATCGTTCTATTTAAATACTTATCTTTTAAGTTTGAATGTTAAACTAAATGAGAATAATAAGGTGACAACATACAATAACAGTATTAGTTTTGTAAATTTATATATTATATTAAAGGGTAAAGTATATGAATGACCACTAAACTATTTAGCCCTTTTTAACTTTTACCATTGATTTTTTAATTTTGTCAATAGATCACTTAACTATTTAATTATATCCAATCAAGCCAAATAGAAGTGGTGATGTGGCCATTAATAAAATTAGTATAATTATACATTTAGTCTTCATATTTATATATTCTATCAATTTAATCTTAATTTTAAATTAATTCAATAAATTTAATTTTAATCAGATAATGACACTTATCACCACTTAATTAGGTTTTATTTTATTTTATTTAATTTAATATATTTACACTCCAATCAAAGGGTGACACATCTCCCATTTATTTGGTGTCCAAATGACTTGAAAAGTTTTATCACTACTGCTCGGAATCGAACCCGATTAGAGTTCAAGCAGGATCACACCAAAACCCAAAACTGGTATTGCCTTACAACATATGCTAATAAAGTTCATCATAGAAAAAATAAATATTTTAAACTACAAAACATGTTTTTTTAATCTTAATTTTAAAATATTATAAAAATAAAATATAAATATTTAATTTAAGAAAAGATATAACATATATTTTGGATACTTTTAAATGAAGATAAAAATAAAATATTTTAAAAAAAAAACTTAAGATAAGAATAATATATATTTTTTCAAGTTAAGATAAGAACGATATATATTTTTTCAAGTTAATATTAGAATAAAATATATCTAATAATTTAAGATAAAAATAAAATATATTATTTAAGTTATGACTGAAATATATTTTTTAAGTTAAAATAAGAATAATATATATTTTTAAGTTAAAGATAAAATTAAATATATTTTTAAATCAAGATAAAAATAAAAAATATTTTGAAAATTAATATGTGAAATTAAGCTTAGATATATATTAAAAATTTACTAATTTAAAATAAAAATATATATAGCCTAAGTTGAAAACTGTAAAAGAAGTTATTAATCTAGCTCAATTGTTCTGTACCGTGCAAATTGCATATCGTTATGTACCACTAAAATGACGTATCGAATCGTACCACATATAAATTTATTTTTATTATGTAAATATTAAAAAAAATAAGGATTTATTTAAAATTAATCATTTATTAAATTTTAATATTACTTTTAATAAAATAATAATTAGATTATAAATTTTTTATTAAAAACTAATTTAAGGAATTTAATTTGATTAGAATTAAGATTTTTAAATTATATGAGTTAGAACCACCATCATAATAAATCATCGCCGGTGAACTATTGACACGCCGGGAAATCGGTTGCTAGTGCTACCGTTGCCATCTTAGTTCGTCGTCGCCCAACGTCGTCAGTCTGAAGGAGAAGCTCTGCCGTGGCCGTCATCGTTTATTTTTCCGTTGTGTTGTTTTTTAACACCGGTGACCTTCGAAACATCATCCCCGACCGTCGGCCGGCCTAGCCAGACCGACCACGACCGCCGTTCTTGTGCTTTTGGAACCGTCGCCGCGTTTGGCAGGCGCACAGTTTAACCGATCGTGAATTCCAATTTGCAGGTTAGGTAAGTTTTTATTTTGGTAATAGTAAAATTACAATACAACTGCCCATATTTGTGTTTTATTTCAAATGGTTAAATTGCATGAAACCCCCAACAGTTTTCCCCGTTTATAGTTTCGTCTATTTTAATATACACGGTTAAATTACATGAATCCTCCCATACTTTTGTTTTAATTTAAATGGCCTAATTGTATGTAAATCCTCACACTTTTCCCTATTTATATTTTAGCTTCTAGGTTTTAAATATTCTATAATATGTATTTTATTTTTATTTTGATAATTAATTTTGAATTGACTCTTTGATTTTAATTAATAATATACTTAATACAATATTTTATTCATTACTTTTATTAGCATTAATTTCATATCATTTGATATTATTTTTTATTATTAATCTTAACAATTTGATACTTAATTTTAACTTGATATTAATTGAGATTATTTGAATCATGATAATATTAATTTTGTTACACAGGTTTAACTATTTGAACTAGTTAATGGATCTTAATTTTACTCCTTCAAAACAAGTAAAAATGGAGCATAAGCGGCATCTCGATATGAATTCAGAAGATATTAATATTGAGGTATATTCATTGTGATTAATTGAAAGAGTTATATATATATTAAGTGTTGGGGTTAAAATGTTAAATTCACCGTAATGAAAGAAAATTTAATTTTTAATTGTAATTATAAAAAGATTTTTTATACTTTATCCAATGTGTATGATGTTAATTTAATGAGATTTTTCCAGGATCTATAATTTTTATAATAATGGTTTTTACAATTATTATTTATTTTATTTTTATGTAGGAAATAGTTGAAGTTTTACATAAGGATGAAAGTCCAACAAGTCTTTATACTATTACAACTAACTTAGAAACCATGATTGATTCAATAAAAAAATATTGAAAAAAACAGTTGTTCGCATGATCGGTCTATTTGAAAAACATATTAAAGATAAATATGTAAATAATAGACCACATGAGGAAGATTTACACGTGGATCATTCAAAGAAAAGGAATTAAAAAATAGATAAAAAGAGAAAAAATGTAGATCATGGTTCATTGAAGGGTGAATGTTTAGATAGTGGATCACACGAGGAAGAACAATTAAGTATTAAGCCTTTGAAGGAGAAAATTGATAATCCTAGTAGAAAAGTGTGTAAGTCTCTATTTATCAATTTTTATCTCGAGTATTCTTCTCCTCCATTGCAACCTAATGGTAAAAGAAAGCTTGATGTTAGTTTTGAAGATAGTGTAACACCGTCTACTGATGGTCCACCAAAACTTCCTAGTGAGATTATTAACTTCAATTTGGTGAGAATCAATTTCCTAGTCAATTAGTCACGGCGAGGAAACCTCCAACAATAAAAAAAGATGTAAAAAAGTATCAAGTATTCACAAGATATCATCAAAGGAAAAAGATTCTCAACAGAAAAAGAATATTATGTCATCTGTTGCACTTCCAAATTCTACTGATGATTTGAAGATAAAAAATTTGACCATGAAAAAGAAAGCTCGAACCCATGATAGTATCATAACGGTGAGTATAAATTATATTTCATTGTATATATTTTTATTAATTGTTGATTTAATATTAATACTTTTAATAATTATATATAGATCCACGAACACAAAACATGTTATGATAGTGGAGAGGCATCGTCGGTTAAAGGTTATAAACAAAAGGCGGTAATAGCATTATGAAATTATTAAAGTTATTGAAATTGTGTTATTTGTTAAATATTTTATACTAAATATTAAATATTTATTTTTTATGCAGGATAAATATAACATAGGTGATATGATATCGAATTTTGTTCAAGAAACTTGTTTCATTGGTGACACATATAAACAAGATTTGTGTTATCTAACACCTGAAGAATGTACAATTTGCCTCAATGTTGCTACTTGGAAGGAGAGGACCGATTATTGTTATAATGTTAAAGGAAATTTTTTGGATGTCAATGATGCTCGAAGTGTCTTTCCAGAAAAATGATTATGTGATACGGTAATATAATTTAATTTTAAAATTTATTTAAGTATTTAGTTTTTTATATCGTTAATAACAATATCAATATATTTTTCTGCAATGTAACAGTTTGTCGATATGTATTTATACTATTTACACATAAACTAAGAGCCTAAGCCTAAAAAATTATATCTACCTCTGTCATTTCAAGTAAAAATATTTGTTATGATGGATGTAACACATAATTTGAGATTTTAAATTTAACAAAATTTAATCCTTATTTATCTCAGGTTAGAGTCATCCAATATGATTTATATCCCGACAAGACGAGAGTAGAGACGAGCATTCAAAAATACCATAGTCGATGAATAGAAGAACTTATGCCTATTGATAGTAGCAACGTTGAAAAGGTATAAATGTCATTTGTTTTCATTTGTTGTTTCCTAACATGTACTTGCTTGTAACTTTCAATTTTACTAATTTCACTGGTTTATTTGCCTTTGCATAATGGAAATGGTAAATATTGGTTTTTATTGGTTGTTAATGTCATGGAGCAACAAAATTATATTTTAGATTCTCTTGGTGTCAATGAGGAACGTAAAAGAATTACACAAGATTTAGTAAGTATTTTAGTTCATTAAATTTAGTAGAATTTTCTTCAGATATAATAAATCATTTTTCTTGTTTGTGGTGTTACTTGTAATATTAGTTGAATAAAACCCCTCATGTTTATGGGACATATCCTCATTTGAGTCGATTATTTGAAGTTGTCGTACAATTTTCAATTGATTTTCCTTACTTACCGGAACAACCGAATATGTATGTTACTTGAAGTTTAAATTATGAATTTATTACCTAAACCATAGCTATATATTTTGAGTAAAAAAATTATTTTATATTGATTTCAGGGATGATTGTGACACGTACGTATTGAATTATATAGAAGCCAATCAAAATTTTGATTGGTCCAAAAAAATTTACGGTAAAGTTAAATTATAAATAAATTATTTTATATGCGTAGTGATATTGATTAGTTTGAATTTTTTAGAAGACAGAAGAAATGAGGGTTGAACGACTGAAATATTTGACAAAACTTATTACCAGCAACCATAATTGTAGACACCCGTTTTTGTCCGGATTATAAATATTATATTAAAATTATATTATTATTATTAT